ACGAAGACCGAACGACACTGCCAGGTCTGGAAAGCCTCTGCTGAGCTGTGGGGCCTCAGCTCATGCCACAGCCATGCGATATGGGAAATTGCACTTCGGGAAGGGGGGGTTGAATGGGTTTCAGGTTTGCAGGGATTTGCCTGTCCAGGATTCGGGGTGCGACATCTTGTTATGCTCTTCCGAAGGTGGAACCGGTGGAATGCCTGTGGCTTAACCGCTTCAGGAGCTGGACTGCTAGCATGTTTATTTAGCAAGAAGCTATAGGGCAAGTCAACGGCCATTGGCGGAGCAAGTAAACCGAGAGCTGCAGGGGAGCTCGCGCCAGGAGCCACAAGGACAGAGATCGTCGCCCAACTTTGCTAGCAGCCAATGTAGCTGGTTCTTTCTTGAACCGAAATGCAGTGTAGTGCCCAAACCGGCTGCACTAACCGGCTGCCGGGCGGCTCTTTGCTGTGGCTGCTGGCAGGCAGTGTGGGCGGCTCGCTTGCGGCCTTCCCAAAAAGCAAGACTTGTTTGCGGTTTCGCTGTCCACAAAGTGTGTTGAGAAACATGAGTCGCTAACGCCCGGTGCTGGAATCCCTTGCTAAGTCCTCGGAGCTGATCCCTTAATATCTCTGGTGGCTGGGACTTTCCGGAAAATTGAATCGGGAGGGAGAGATGAAGAAAAGAAATAATCGAATGAATTCCATCAACAAAATCTGTGTTCATCTATGTATAAACATGCGTTTGGGCTTGAGAGTCCGATCCTCTGCGAACCTTGGTTCAGCAACTCCGAATTATACACCGGCTGCCCATTCACGTGCGGCACGGCCTCCCCGACCTTGTCAGCGGCACTCCTCCATTAAAAATTACCAGCTTTCGTCGTCGTAGTGTCGTAGTGGTGGAAGTCGAAGTGGTAGTGGTTGTGGTTGTTGCCGCCGTGAAGGTAGGGGTAGGGGATGTAGCGTGGCAGTGGTAGTAGTGTACCACTACCACTACCGCCGCACCACTGCCACTACTACTACTACTACTACTACGACTACTACGACGGCGACTACTACTACTACTACTACTACTACTACTACTACTACTACTACTACTACTACTACTACTACTACTACTACTACTACTACTTATTACTCCTACACCAACTCCAACTCCTACCACTGCCACTGCCACTGCCACTGCCACTGCCACTGCCACTACCACTACCACTACCACTACCACTACCACTACCACTACCACTACCACTACTACTACCACTACCACTACCACTACCACTACCACTACCACTACCACTACGACTACGACTACTACTACTACTACCACCACTACTACTACTACTACTACTACTACTACTACTACTACTACTACTACTACTACAAGTGCTGCTACCGCCAGTGTCCCTATTGCTGCTAAAGCATTCTTCGTGGTCCATGTCGCCATCGTGGTAGTGGCAATGATTAGTCTTCGTAGTGAACCACTGATAATGATACAGAAGGTTTGTAAACAGCTGTTTTATGGAGTTTATGAGTAATGCTGACCACTGTCCGCAGACCATCTCACTGTCCGTCCTCGCTGGGGTGTTCTGTGCCGGCTCGTCCTGACGGAGGATGTGGGCTCAAGCAAGCACCGCAGCAGGGTACGGAGTCATAGTTCAGGACATGCAAGCGCAGTTGCAGGTGCCACAAGATAGGCTCAGTTGTTGAAAGGTTTGGGAGCGAAAAGCTTGGGGATCCGCAATTCGGGGATCCGTTCAGCATATTACCAGTTGCGAAGATTGAAGATAGTGAAGAAACAAGCTCGATTTTTGCGATGGTTGCGGGTGATGCTGATGAGGATGGCCTACGTAGCGACGCAGCAAATGGACGAGGACAGAACATGGTGGTGATGACGTTGGGGGCAACGATGGTGCGATGGCAGCAATGACTGCAAAGATGGCTGATAATCATGACAACAAAGGCGACTGTATCCATGATTCTGTTGATGTTACGGTCGATGACGTTCATGGTCCTTGCTCGTCATCATCAACCTCAAGACCTCAAGATCACAATCCTCATCATGGCCATGCTGGTGAAATTGATGCTGATGGACTGATGTCGCTGTTGATGCTGGCGATGGTGGGTAGGAGAGCGCAAGCAAGACAATGATGAATGATGATGTCGAAGATGAAGACGGCAGCGAAGATAACACCGGTGATTGCAGCCGAGGATATGATTAACAAGCAGTTCAGCTAGATCAAGCATGCAGACCAGCGGCATATGGTGATTGCTATGATACGGTAGTGGCAGTGTTGATGAAGACGGCACTGGCATTCGCAATCTGCAAGTCAAGTCGGGAGATGACAGCCATGACGTGTCGCTGGGAGAAGACTACTGGTGTCTACGTTGCAGCAGAGCAGATAGTCCTGAAATCCACTCTGCTATTATCATCAAGCTGGCACCCGGTACTGCCCTCAACTGCTGCAAAGCGCGACCCTTGCCAAGCGTCAGATCCTCTCTATGCATAAGGCGGCCTGGCTGGCTTCCGCGTGACGGTCTCCTGTGGTGCAGGAGCAGTCAGAGATGCCAATGAGAAAACAAAAACCTTCTGAACAACAAACTCTGAGCCTGAAGCTCCGGAAAGTCCAAAGTCTGGACAACAGGCTGCTTACAGGAGCATGCGGCCAGGACGATCCCGGAAGCGGTCAATGCTAACTTCCCCCCGTAACACACCCGACAGTCCTTCTTGCTCTTGGCCCATCTGCGCTGCATCAGTGCTGCCAGGAACCTCGCATGGATACTTCTACTGCTTGCTCTGCGCTTCTTAAAGGTAATTTCGACTTATCAGCATAAGAACTATTGCTATTGTGAGGACCCCAAGTGATATCTCCTCTACACTTACTAGTAACTAGCCCTCTCGCAACGATGACGAGGACGACGAGGATAATGCTGCTGCTGCTGCCGGCGATGATGAGCATGCTGAGGAGGAAGATGACGGTGACGGTGGTGATGATGATGGGTGGTGGTGATAATGCCGAATATGAAGCCTGAGAACAAGATAATCATCAGCAAACGATGCTGCTTATGGTGATGACGATGATGATGAGGCTAGTAGTGGTGTTGATGCTGATGATGATGGTCGTGATGACGCAGCTGACGACTACGAGGAGTCCGAGAGGGATAGGTCTGTGGCACAGGTTCGGAAACGGTGGGCGTATCGTCGTGGTTGTCTTCAATTTCAGCTTTGGCATGGTGGGCATGGAAGGCTGTGGCTTTTCCGGCCCTTGCGGCTTACATCAAGGTCAAGGCTTGGGGCACTGTCGCGAACTCGAGAAACTGGACTGCGACTCACCAGAAGTTCTTCTGGGGCACGAACCACGGACGCGGGTTCACCTCGGGCATCATGGAATTTTTCACTGGCACGAAGCACTTCCATGCGTGCATCCCCGTTCTGCAGGCCGTCATCTGACAGATTCGCCTCGGCCCCGGCCGAAGCGGTCAGAGGTTCCTATACGGATTCCCTCTGTTCCCGAGCTCTCAATCCAGTGACCCTGAAAACGACCCTGCCTGACCCCCAACCATCCCCCCCTCCTCTGCATGAACCTCTGGAAAAAACCAGGGTCCCACAATGAAATTTCGTTTCCTCAATGGATTTGGGGCTCGCTGTCGGGCAGTTTCACTTGCCTCCTCTTGCTCTTTACAGTGTGACCCTCCTCGCCATTCCCCCGCCAAACCCCTTCCCTCCCCCCCGTCCTCTCTTCCTCCCCCCCTGCACCATGCTTTTATGCAGAAGACTTGCGCAGAGGTCCGCTGCACACTGAGACTGCAAGGTTTCTGCGCCTGAAAGTTCTCGCCTCGAAATTTCTTCGGCAAGGCAACTTTCGCCAGTTCGGCACGTGCGTGTGTGGTCAGGCCGAGGTGGGCGACGCGAAGCCCGCCCACGCTCCTTCTGCGCCTGCCCCGCTGCGCTTTCTCCCTGTGTAGGGTTTCGGGTTTGAGCTTAAACGGCTATTAGGGTTTGGGGTTTAGAGTCTCCGGTTTGAGGCCTCTTGGCCTTGGTAGGCTTTCGGGTTACTGCTTTCCGAAACAATGCACCTGCTTCAAGCACAGCCGGGCCGGGGCGGACGACGAGAAGCGTTTAAAACAACTGATTAGTGTTGTCAGAACTGTTCATATTGCCATTGTCATTGTTTCTACGACTATGATCATTGTCTTTTACTGCTATTGTTCTTACTATTCGCTATTACTGTCTTCTTGTATCAATATTGTACTACTTGTTGTTTGATTCATATATTTTCTATGCAGATGATGATGATGATGATGATGATGATGGTGAACATGGCTATTTTACATACATACATACATACATACGTACATACATATGTACAGAAATCACAGATCGATAGATATGCTGCTTCGATTTGTTAAGGCCAGCCTGGACGCAATGCTGTTTCTAAGCTGTAAGTCGAAAATCCATGGGGACATGGGCCTTTGAGCGAGTGACATGTGTGTAGATCGGTCGAAGTCGAAGCCACTACTCGGCGAGCTGGCAAGAACCTTGACATCTGTAGCCGAAAGCCGGAAATCTTGCGGTTGGCAAGAGAACTTCCCTTGCCGAAAAGAGTCCAGATACGATAAGGCTACAAAATGCTCAAGTGAAGCCGATCCCGAGTCTAGTCTTACACGGCCACAGAATTTATGCTACAATGCTACAACCGGTCGCAGCAGATTCCAGGGAAGTCAGCAACAGCAATACCTTCCAGCAAGCAGGAAATCTCTAAACGTGGGAAGACCATGTGTCTCCCAGCGACGTCCCTGAGGTCCGGTCTTAGAGAAGCTCCGGGGGCCGCAGCCGGCTCTGCCTTTGCGGGAGTGCACAGGTGGGTTCAGGGGATGCACGAAGGGTTTCAGATTCAGAGCTAAGGCTGCTGGCTGCCAGCGATTCTCCCCGACAGCGCTTCTGGTGCATGCAAACATGTATATGCAGTGTACGCTTGTTCGCTCTTGCAAAAAGGAGCCTAGGACGAGGCGCTCCGGCGCTCAGCCTTCGTTCTCTGCCTCGTAGTCGGCATCGCTGGCCTGCAGATGTAAATTACTGCCGGCGCTGTGCGAGCGGAGCCGAGGGCTTGTCAAGAGGCGCCGCGCCGCTTGCGAGGCGCTTGTACGCCAGGAGCGGTAGCCTCGTCGCGAGCCGTACTCCACTTCGTTGACACTCTTCTCAGCGGCCTGGTCGGCGTCAGCCGAGATCGTCGCGTGCACCGCTTCAGGGGCCTGTCGGAGCCAAGCCTTGAGCTCTGGAAGTGCCGCCTCGTAGCCGCTTTGGGAAATCTCTTCGAACTTTGCGAAGTCTAGGAGCCCGAAGTTGGTGATGTCCGGGCAAATCACAAGGTCTGCTCGGGAGCTGTGCGACTCTTTCATGGCCTCCACCAGAAACATTAAGCGCTCCTGGATCTCAGCTTGGCTGGGAGGGTCCCCGCTACCACGGCGACAGCAGCCAAAACGCCGCTGTAAAGATACCAGACCTCCACGGACCACATCACCGTAGTCAGTGCACACAGGAGCATAGTCTGGGCACGCGACGATGCAAATTACGGTGCCCGCTCCGTGGTCTTTCAGAGCTTCTATGGGGTACTGGTTTACATATCCTCCATCCACCAGCAGAGTCGTGCTGACTTTGCCATCTTCCCTTCTCTCCTGGTGTGGGATTGGCGGCACGAACCCGACGAGGCTCATCGAAGCACGGATCACCCTCCAGAGAGGGCCATCCCTGTGGACCTTCTCCTCAAAGTGCACAATGTCCGTGCTGGTACACGCAAATGGAATCAGAAGGTCCTCCAGTCTGCGGCGGGCGAAGATCTCTTTTAGAACACTGTTGAGGTAGGCCCCTGTGAAGTAAGCAGTTCTGGGAAAGTTCAAATCCAGCATCATCTTCCGGGCCGAAAACTGTTTGGTCATGACTCTTTTGACCAGGGCCGGCAGCGAGCTCGGTTCGGGTGCACTCATGGAATACATCGCCCCTGCGAGTGCACCGAACGACGTGCCACTCACAATGTCGATGGGTATGCCAAGTTCCTGCATCGCCTTTATGACGCCGAAGTGGCAATTTCCTCGAGCACCCCCTCCACCGAAGCAAACGCCAATAGCTTTGCCTGCAAGCAGGCGTGCACACCGGTTCCAGTCGACAGAGTCCCCGTGGCCAACGCGGACGTGGTGCCAGCTACTGGCCCACGGCCTGGGATTCAGGTAGTGCCGTGTGGACCTCATCATTCCTCCCCCACGGTGGGGAGCAAAGAGGTGGTGCCGGACGAAGCCTGTGACACCCGGCCGCAGCGAATCGGCCCTGGCGGCCGCACCAACGAACCAGTCGTCCATTGAGGAGAGCTTGGACACTTTGCCGCTCTTTCCTTGTACGCCTTTGTGGAGCAGAAGCAGCTCTCTGGTCACGAACAGGGGTGCTGCGTCACGGACGTGCTTCTCATTGAGAGTCTGCGGCACATCGCCGCGGCCCTGACCATTAAAGTTGGTAGCGACGAGGATGACGTCGGCCTGACGCCAGAGTTGGGCAGTGCTTAAACTTTAGACAGCCATCCGTTACGATTCACTGTCATGACTATGCTTGAGTACCTTGTGACATTGCAGCTGTTAACGGCCCGCTTGATTGAGCCTTGCATATGGTCAAGACACTGCTTCATGATCAGTCTACCACGAGGAGCACCACGAGATACAAGTGGTTGCAACTGCCGGACAGTTGCGATCTTCAAGAAAAACCTGTCGCTGTAATCCTTTGGATGAACTCCGTGTGCACATTGCCTATACGTCCCCCCGTTGCAATAATCTGTGTGTCAAAGCCCTATACACCAGGTTTTTTCCCGCACAGAAGGCCATCCCAAAGCATTCCCGGCAACGTGGCGGCGTACGAAACGAGCATGCCGGAATTGACAACTCGTTTGGTATAGAGTGCAGGGCACTCTTGGAAATTTTTTGGTTCTACCTACCACGTCGATCAAACAAGCACTGCTGGCCCTGAGCGGAGCATGTTCCCTTCTAGAGGTGACAAACTGAAGGTCAGAAGGCTTAGACTCAGACAATACTGCAGCACTGCTTGGACCGGCCTTGCTATCTACATTGGAACTGACGGTTGAAGTGTGTTGAAGTTGATGGAAGAAGAGTATGCTTCAACAAGCAGTTCCCGACACAGGCTTTACTAAGTTCACCATGTATGGTGCAATCTATGCTCCAAAATCTTTATGGCTCTTACAGCCAAACGCCAAACAGAAGTATGATGAAGTATGTGTGCAAGGACTTTCCTACACATGTTAAGACGCTCTTCCTTTCCCCAGCCGGATCCCGCCTGACGGACGCACCGTCTGGTCCAGTCTGTGACCCCCTTGCTGCCAGGCGCTTCCGCCTCGTAGACCAGCCAGCGATTTCTCTCCTCCAGATCGGCTAAGAGTCGGGCAAGACGCCCCTCGTCCAAGTTTCTTACAGCTCCCTGAACCCCTGGTGCCGCACAAAAGAGATCGGTGCTCGGCGTAATGTGCATGGCGTTGCCCAACACATTCAATGCTGCTGTCAATCTTGAGCATACACGGTTTATGTCCACATCGGCGGTGGCAGGAACAACGGTGATGGTCGTCTTGTACTTGGCGCTGGCAGAGGCCTCCGACTGGGGCGGCTTCCGGCCGATCTGCGAACTGAAGTGAAGGATAGCTCTGGGAAACTCAAGAGCCACAAGCTGCAGGAGCATCGGCGAGACCCTACACACCTCGGTGTCGCGCGATGCCTGCACTGTCTGCGAGTAGGTGGCGTTGCGCAAGCAATCGAGCTCGCCACAGAGGCTGCCGCGCAAGAGCACCTCTCGCACACGAATCCCAGGCGGACTCGGCACGGCTCGGCTCCGGAGTTGTGGCATCCGCGGCACAGGCGCCGAGTCCGCTGCGTCCTCGAGAGCGACGAGACGGCCTGATAAAACGATGAAGAAGCCGCACATCGGATCGCCTTGCCTGTACAAACATCGGCTGCCCTCGACAGCTAGCCACTCCAAACAAGCATCCACCCGGTGGAGCCATGTGGCTGTTCGACCTACAATAAGATGGAGCAGTGTGAGGGTAAAGCTCCTTGGAAATCGCGCCAGCAAACGCTGGCATGCCTCTCTTGGCAATGCTGCGAAAGTGCACTTTGATTGGCAGCGATACTGGATCGGCGAAGGCTTGTCTGTGAGGATGGACAACTCGCCTATGGCATCGCCCGGTGAGACCATCCCCTTCAAGGGCTCTCCACTCTGCTCCACAACCAGGTCGCCTTCCAAAAGGATCATCAGGTGCTTGGCACGCGACTGCGGGGGAAAAGCCAAGTCTCCCGCGGGTCGGACGATTGTCTCGGCCAAGTCGCACTCCTCGCTTTCCGCTCCCGCTCCAAGAAGTTCACGGAAGGCTGAAGCTGGAGGTGTGCTAGAATCTGGGGCATCTAGTATTCTGGAGCTGGAGGGAATCATAAACTCCCGTCTGAGACCAAAGTAGGTCGAAAGAGTTTGGAAGACCACTGTGGAGAGACGGATGCAGAGTCGCTGCACCAACCACTGCATGGCCTTTGGAAACTTATCGAAGGCATCACTGAAACACTCAACCTGCAGCTTTGCGACGGTGGCACCTTCCGCGCCCGCCGCCGCGGAGCTGCTGTGCACAGTGCATGGTACAGGCGGATCAGTGTCATCAGAGCATTGTGACTGCAAGCTAGCCAGAACGTAGAGCAGTCCGACGATGGCATTCCCAGGGCCGACTGTGTAAACATCGGAGGACGGCCGGTTGCCAGGTTGTACCAAAACCTCCCCTTTCTTCACAACCAGAAATGCAGAGCGTGGGTCGCCATGGTCAAAAATGCGCTGGCCAGCTGCGAAGACCACATCCTCCATCTGGCTTTCAAGGAAGCGGAGGCACTCTGCTTCTGCATGGCCAATGCCAAAGCCGCCTGATGCTCCAGCAGCACTCAGGAGCAAGCCACTGCCACTGCCAGCAAGGCGTTGCTTTTCCTGCAAAACGGATGCCATCTCTCGGTCGAAGCTCTGAGTCGGGCTTCGTGTTGAGGCAGGCTGAGGCTGAGCCTCGTTGTCCTCGAAGTCTGACTCCCCCGAAGAGAAGCGCTCCAAGAGTTGGAGCTCGGGCGGCTTCGGCCGCTTCCCCCGCGACTCCAAACGCCCGCTTCGCGAATCCCGCAGGCCGCGCTCCCAGGATAGATTGATGAACCAGCGACCCACCACATAGGTAAGATACACCGAGGGCACTGAGATTAGAACTGTAGCCCAGAGTGGCTGCGTGAACAACTTCTGCGTGAGCAAACTAAATGCATATCCGATCAGCAGCCAAAAGGCTTGCGTGACCTGAAATGCTGCAGAGACCAAAAGCTCCAGTTGAGACCAGAGAGGTGACACTGCATCGCTGCTGACCTCCAAAGCCGCAGAGGCGGCTGACACTGCCACGGAGACTGCGTTCGCCACGCTTTCCATGGCAGTGGCCTCTTATTTACAACTTGAACCACCCTGTGTACTTCTCAAAACCACCGATAAAGCCAGCACGCCAAACAACCGATGAAGGTTATTGTGTTGCAGTGCTGCAGCATGAAGACCTGTAGAGCCAAAATCCACTCCATCACCAAACCTTGATTTCTCGCTATATAGTTTGACACAAGTGCCAGCCAAGCAGCCCTCAGATCTTTCGAGACCTCGCCACGAGGAGGCGGCTCCTGCTCAAGAGAAGGCCCGCCTAAGCCACTTCAACACTTGACCCGTACACCCTGAACCTGCATGTTTAGAGGCTGTGTATAAAGAGCATAGAGACGCTGGAACAGTGAGAGACGCTTGGGCTTCGAGGAATCCAGCATTTGAGGGCTCCAAACGACTCACACGAACAAGGCAAGGGATTGCGGGCTCCCGCATGTTGCTGGTCTTTAGATTTGATATTCAATCGGTGAAGCAATGGGCACCAACTGGAGATGTTTTGATGTTTGGGCATGTGGCGGTGTGCATGCAAACAAAACAAATTACACCGGTCACCAGGTCTGTTGGTGCTCCCAGTCCGTGAAAGTTGAACCGAAGAGCCAAGAGTTATCATCTGCACATACTCTGCTTAAGCCCTCGGCTGCACCCTGACGCCCCCCTGCAACGCCAGTGAAACACGGAGGGTTTACATCCAGAAAGCCGACCCGGCATCCTTGACGCGAGGCTCCGCGGCCTTAGGCTGACTTCCAGACATGGCCATAAGATTCAGTCTCTCTTTTGTGTCAAGATGTGTCAAATCTTACATTCTCCGAAGTTTCAAGCTGACTCACCTAATTCCACGGTACAAGAAATCAGGCATCACGGGTGTATGACATGACAGCTTCGCTGCGAAAGAGGCCATTATATCCGGAAGGAGCCTGAGGGTTCGCTCATGTGACGCGAAGGAGGATTCAGGCTTTCGGAAGGCCTCGGATTTGGGGCTCTCAGCTTCATTCTTTTGCAGGTCATGGGCTAACATAGGCTTTAAGACCACGCCGTCCAGAAATGTGCTCTGTTCAGAAGCACTTGGGGAGTAGGACCCTTCGAACGAGCGTGGAACCCAGATCGTCACCATGTACAATGTCCAAGTTGGCATAAGGCTTGAAGATTTACGAATTCCTGAAAATGAGAGGCCTGACAAATCATGAGTGCAAATTCCGGATTCCCTAATTCAGCATTTCAGAAACCGAGGTTGCAAGCCGAGCTGTGGCTCTGGCAGCGACGCCCGCTGCTCCCTGTCGGCGTGAAGGCGCAGGAGGCGCCTTGACCCGGGTGCCTGCGGCTGACACTGATTTGACACTCATGGACGTAGGGTTTCGTGAGACTCTGCCAGAGGGTGTTGAGCTTCGAGGCTGAAGGACGAGTCTGCTGCATCAGAGAAGCCCTCGAGCCCGAAACTCAGAAAACAAAGCTACGCTTGGCTCAATGCTGCCGATGTCCTCCGACAGACTGCCCTTGGCTCTGCGGCGCAGGAAGCGTTTCCTCCAAAGTAGCAGCTGAAGGTCGGGCTCGAGGCTTTGGAAGCTCGTTACGGCGTTTCGTCCCTGAAGCTCTGGGCTCAGAGGTTTTCATGTCTTGAAGGTGTGCGGGCAAAGACTGCAGGAGGTGGTCCCCGAGACTTCCCCCAGCCTGTTGAATCTGCACGCCTGCATCCTGCACCCAAACCATCATCCCTTCATGATTCATCGCTGGGCGAACGAACCCGAAGCCCCAAGGACCCCAAGACTACGGCCGACGTGCTGGCCTGTGGCCTTGTCTGGGCTGGGGGCGGGCTGCGACTCCTCGGCCAGATGCAAGAGCTCCGGTGCCCAGGTCAGACCGGAACATGGTAGAGATCGGATGACAAAACACCCTCCATCTCTACATATCTCTACGGGAAATGATGTGCAATACGTATGTATGTAGGTAGACAGGCATGTAGGCAGGGAGGTAGGTGGGTAGGAAGGAGGCAGGTAGGCAGGTATGTACAGGTAGGCAGTTAGGCAGGTAGGTGGGTGGGTATAGGCAAGTATGTATGTACGCACGCATGTATGCACATACAGGAATGCATGCATACTACATGTATACATACATGCATATGTTATTTCTATTGCTGTTATTATTTTTACTCATACTAATATGTATGTGTCTACATACTAGGACAGCAAAGGATGTGCCTCTGGGGGTTTACAGTTTACATATTTGGACCAGCCTACGGAAAGATTTCAGGTGAGGCATGCTGTGTGGATCTCTGCGGATTGCAAAGCGCTTTTGTAAAGTATGAGAGGAGCATCAGCTCCTCCTTTCCCTACTGAGCTTACTTCTGCTGTGTCGTTTAGCTGTTCGTCCCATTGTGCATCTGCAACGTATGCTCGGAATCGCAACATGGTATTGGAGCGAAATGGGCGCCGCCTTCACAGCAGCGCTCGCGTGTCCCGCGCAGGTCGAGCGTCATTTTCAGACTCCGCGGGCACCGGCTTGTCAATGCGTCCGAGTTGCAGGTTGGCTCCACTAAGCCTTTATATTTCCTGAAGAAGAACCCTCTCAAGTGCCAACGCCTGAAGCATCTCCACGCCTAGTCTCTCACTGCAGAACCCTGCAGCCCCTCCCGCTTCCCACCCACCAGCTCACGTTGAATACACCTCCAGAAACCTCCAATGATCGAAACCGCTGCCTTCTGGGGCCGAGTGTCGGCATGGGTGGTGGCCCAGGCAATGTCGCGGCGGCTGTAGCTCCGGCAGGGCTAGCTAGCCTCGGGGACGTTTCAACAGGCCGCTGGACGTGATGCACGTTGTGGCTCTGGGATGCGTTTCACACGACCAAATCCATAAAGCCTATCTGTACTGACTCTCGAGATCTACAGCGCTTGTGCCTGGAGCTTTGCCGATTGTCAACAGCCTACCTGCTTGAGCCGTGGGGATGATGAAATGATGATGATGCTGCCGTCGATGAAGTCGATAATGACGACGAGCACCAGCCACAGAACTAGCAGCAGCTCCAGCTCCAGCAACCAGAAACAGCCGTCGCGATTACCAAAATCGTGGCCTGCACCATCACCACCATCAACACCTGCTAAACCCTACTTACACCTTTTTCATCATCACCTCTGCTGGTTCGAGAGAGTATAAATCAAGACTTCCAGACGATGATGGCGTGCACCAGAATGAAGGCCATCCAGTCTACAGGACTTGGGGAATTCAGCATTCCAGTTCGCACACTTGTGATTTTCAAGCGTTTGACTAGATTTTTCTGGTATGATTCAGTGTAAATACACAGAATTAGAAGTCCGCAGAGGACCTAAGTGTCCCAAACGACTAAATAGTGGTTGCGTCGAACGTCCACTGATACAAACGACGTGCTACGTGGAGGCACTACACGAGAACAGCCGCTGATCAAACACCCCAGGCCCCTCACGATGCAGGCTGGCGTGGTGGCTGCTTCACCATGGCTTTTGGGGCCTCAAGAAAGGAAGGGGCCTAAAGAAAGGATGCACCATGAACACGTTCTTGGCAGAATTTAGGCTGTGGTCTTTTGGTACATTGAGAATTGCTGCAGTGCGTGTCGTCTGATTTTTGCTTGGCCCCCGCTCAATGTCTGCGAGCATTTGCTAGAGGCCATCTGCTAAAACAGTGTGAGATCCTTTGTTCCCGAGTGGGTTGGCTGCTCAGAGTTCCGGCTTTCGGATTACATGGGTGGAGCGATGCGACACTAACCCAATGTGTCGCTCCAACCAATTGCTGCGAGTCAATCTAAACACCCAAGACTGTAGGTCCAGCCAGCCTGAAAAACCTGCAAACCCCAAACGA